GGGAAGATGGTGAAAAGCTGAAGGAGGAACTTAGTGCTTGTCAACATTTTTTGGTGGATACGGAGATGGAAAATGGGAGACATAAGGTATTTAACTTTTAATTGTCCAAGTTAGATACCAAAATAATGAACGAGAAACTAGAGGAAGTCTTCAATAAGCTTGATTCTGCAGCTAAAATCAACATTGCTCTGGGTCTGGGTTTGTACTTCAAAACCTTGAGACTGGTGAATATCGATATTTCTACGCCCAAGAAAACAATACTCTGTTTGAAAAATCCCACTTACTTTGTACGAAAGCGGATTTGATAACAATCCAAGGAAAAGTAGAAAAATTTGATATTGTGGAGCAATGTACCCAAGAACGCCAGAACACAAAGTGGCGATTCAAGTTGATTACTAACGTTACAGTTTTTGCTGCTTTGCTGAAAAACATCCCCATGGGATGTCCGGACTCTGTCTTACCCGAACCTTTATTACGACATACGCAAGTGAATTGTCTTTTATCTAACAAAGACAAGGAACCTTACAAAAATCATTTGTGTCTTTTCTGCGCATTGGCCATGTACATGAACGGACATAATGATCTCGACTCTCACACTTCTAGATAATTTACAGATTTTATATCAAAATCTGCTTATGATCCTAAAAGTTTTCGTGGAGTTTCTGTAGAAGACTTACCTGTTGTCGAGGAAATGTGCAAAGAAACATTTTTATATACAATTTCGTTATCCAAGAAACAGAATATGTAGGAGAACTAGCTCGACGAAGTACTGGAAGTTTTGACAAAACAGTCAAATTACTGAGATTTAACAATCATATCATTCATACAAATTATATTGATTCTTTCTTCAAGTGTTTCCGGTGTGCTAGTTGTGACACCTTTTTTAATAAATACGACAATTTTAACAAACATCTTCTGAGATGCAAGGACCGAGTGAAACATTTTTACCCAAAAAACGTCTATGAGCTTTGCAAAACCTTGTTTGAAAGAAAAGCTAGAAGGATTCAGTCTTCCAGTTTCTGAAGACAACAAGTTTTTCAATAATCTAGCAATTTTTGACTTTGAGTCGATTTGTGTTCCTACAGAGGAACTAAGTGAGACGCAAACTACTACCTGGATTGGAAAACATATCCCCATTTCAGTCTCTATATCATCAAATCTGATTGATGAACCCATATTTTTGTACAACAAGGATCCGCAGAACTTGATTATTGATTTTGTAAGCAAACTCGAGCTGTTGGCTGAGAAAAGTCAGCTGGAGATGAGAACAAAATTTCAAGAAATTGAAGTAGCTGTCAATGAAAAAATGAAAAAGATCTTTGATCGTCTAAACGAACGTGGTAAAAATTATTCAACTAACAAATTCGAGTACGAAGACGAATGCATTGAAGATTTGGAAGAAGCAGATATGTCAACACAATCCTTGCGAATTCAGAAAAATCAACTCATTGATTTGAAACAACATCTGGAGAGATATGTAAATATTTTACCTGTTTTTGGATTTAACAGCGGTAGATATGATTTAAATTTGATCAAGTCCTATCTAATCCCCTACTTCATTCGCGATAAAGAACAAGAAACATCCGTCATCAAAAAACCAAATGACTTTATATCTTTCAAGTTTGGAGATGTACATTTTCTCGACATAATGAAGTTTTTGGGAGGGGCAACTACTCTGGACTCCTTTCTCAAAGCCTATAAAGCTAGCGAAACCAAAAGATTCTTTCCCTATGAGTAGTTTGATAACCCAGACAAACTTCTTTGAATATGAGAAGCTTAGAAAAAGTGGGTTTGACGAACAACAGGCACTGAAAAAGCTTCAAATCAAGACTGTTCCTCCGTCTGGCTTGGATAAATACAATAACTTACAAGAGACTTGGAAGAAAAATGGAATGACAGTGTTCAAAGACTTTTTGAAGTGGCACAACAACAAAGATGTAGTTCCAACCCTGGAGGCAATGCAAAAAATGATTCAGTTTTATCATAACAAGGGGATAGATATGTTAAAACTTGGTTGCACACTTCCAAATCTAGCAAACATTTGTCTACACAAATCTACAAATTACAAGTTTTATCCATTTTGCGAAAGTGATAAAGACTTGTGTGAAAAAAAATTAGAGAGGACATGACTGGAGGACTTTCCATTGTTTTCACTCGAAAAGCTGTAGTTGATGAGACATACAACACAAACTCATGATATGCTTGTAAATCAATCGTTGGAATTGATGCAAGCCAGCTTTACCCTTTCTCAAGGTGTCAAGATATGCCAACAGGACTGTACACGAGATGGGAGTTTGACACTGATATGCAGAAATTCAAGGCTAGACATAATCAAACTCGCAACTTTGAGAATACGGTCATGTCTTTTTATCAAGAATCAAGACCAGAATGAAAAATTGAGAGCATTTTTACATCTGGAAAACAGAAAAAAATCGACTGTTTTAATGTGGACGGTTATTGTGATCACTGTAAGACAGTGTTTGAAGCAATGGGATGCTACTACCACTTCTGTTCCTGTCAAGAAGCTCGTCCCTCCTTAACAGAACAGGATATTGAGCGAGGAAACAAGAAGAGAAAAGATGGATGATATGCGACGAGAATACATTAAAGAGAAAGGATACAAAGTGGAAGAAATGTGGGAGTGTGACTGGTGGGAAAGTTTCAAAACCGATGACAAGATCAAAAATCACGTCAGAACCCGCTTTCCCTATAAAAAAGACCTCTTTCTACAGACTCCCTTCTAGCAAAAATAAAAGATGGATATCTTTTTGGCTACGTTCAGTGCGACTTAGTTGTCCCAGATGAGCGAAAATCAAAATTTGCGAATTTTCCTCCAATTTTCAAAAACACTGAGGTTGGAAGAGATGATATTGGAGATTACAAGAAAAACTATGCGATCGAGAACGAAATGTTAAAGCATCCTCAGAGAATGCTGATATCTAGTTTCAAGCTGGAAAATGGAACAGTTATAACTCCTCTCTTCAATTTTTATATAGAACTTGGATTGCAGTGCACCAAAATTTACCGATTTGTTCAATATTCTCCTCGGAAATGCTTTAATAATTTCGTTCAGTCAGTGGTTGTTGCTAGAAGAGAAGGAGACGAAAACCCTTTGTCAGGAGTTCTAGCAGAAACAATGAAACTTTTGGGTAATTCTTTGTATGGATATCAGATCATGGATAGATCGAGACATACAGTCACAAAATATCTGAACGATGAAAAAACTCACAAGACAATCAATGAACCATTGTTCAACAGATTAAATACAGTTGAAAAAGATTTATATGAGGTGGAGTTGTTGAAATCAACCATTGAACATAGAGAACCATCATCGTTGGATTTTTCATACTTCAGTATGCAAAACTGAGAATGTTGGAACTCTACTATAACTTCTTTGACAAGTTCTGTGATGTGAATAAATTTGAAGAGTTGGAGATGGACACAGACTCACTTTATTTGGCACTTGCCGAAGGAATTTTATACGACTGTATCAAACCAGATAAGAGAGCTGCTTGGGAAAAAATGAGGGAAAATGACTGTAGAGACTCTTTCAAGGCGGATGCAAAATCTAACTTCTTCCCTCGAATGTGTTGCAGTACGCATTAAAAAAATGATAAACGGGAGCCGGGACTTTTTAAAGAAGAATTTAGATGTACAGAAATGCTATGTTGGTGTAGCAAGACATATTGCTGCTATGACAACAAGTCAGATAAATTCAAACTTAGCAGTAAAGGATTAAACAAGCGAGTTCTCGAAGATTCAGGAGACGGACCTATGTCAAAGTACAGGAGAGTGCTCAATGAAGCAATCAACTTAACGTCTACAAATAGAGGATTCAGAGCTATAAATCATATGGTGGCAACATATGAACAAACAAAGAAAGGACTAAGCTATTTTTATCCAAAAAGACAAGTACAAGTTGATGGAATTCATACAAAACCACTGAACTTAAAAGAACTGATCTGGTCTAATAAATTTCTTCATGATGTCTTATTATATTGGTTTTATGATGTTAAAATGTAAAATTTTGCGGTAAACTTGTTATACAATGCAGTGATTTATATACTTTTTTGTAATTTAATTTTTTTCTCTCAAAAAATTCGAGTTTTTTCGATGTCTCTGTAGGTTCAGAATAGATTCAGATAGATAGAAAGTAAAAGTATCTAATAACTTTTTGTTAGATCAAATTAAACAAAATCTTATCGATTTTGAATTTTTTTCTTACCATTGACTTACCATGCACCAAAAAAACTAAATACATAATCTTAATTCTAAAATCTACACGTAATTAACAATTAATTGTTCCCAATTAGGTAACGCGCGCCGAGATTTTTGCGAAACCAAAAACATTTTAGCACAAAAACCAAAAAAAATTCGTTTTTCTTACCATTATCTTACCATCACACAAAACATAAAACCTTACCATCGGTATTCCCTATCTTAAGACATTGAAGACTCTATACCCAATCTTAATACATAGCATGGCGGACCGGAAATCTATAACGTATCTTAATACATGGGGTCCGCCATGCAACCAAAAAAACCACCCCCCCCCCCCCCCACTTCAGCTTCAACATCTACTACTATCTTACAATTTCCATTTTTGGGAAAATGTTTATTATAGAGTTTTCATACATATGGAATTGTATGAAATTGTGTGAAAAGAAGCTTCCCATTTAAGAGACTGTATGATCAGCAATTTTGGTCAACCCGGGTCAACTGAAATCGAAAGAGGAGAAACAATTTGAATTGCGTCTATCTGAAGATTAACTCCGCTAATAACTTCAAAGAACTTTATGCGTAATTTAGCTGCTATTTTGAAAAAATTGTGTTTAGTTTTGCGTAGAATTTTTTTTTCAGTTTCCTCTGGAATCAAAAAGAAATTTTTTGTTTCTTCTCGGCTATTTTTTCTGAAACGTTGGTCCTAGTCCTAGTTTGGAGAAACAAACTACAAATTAAAATTCACCGAAACTAAGAACATTCAATTGGATTAATATTTCGCCTGTGCAAAATTTATAAGGCATTATTTTTTCATCAATATTTTGCACAATCGCAAGCCTCAAATGGTTATCGTGTAATTTAATTGGCTTTTATGTACATAACTGTTGAGACATGTTGAACAGATTTTTTTCAAAATATCATAATATTTCTATCTCATAGAGCAGTTAATGAATCAATTGTGATTTGAACTTCCTGTTTTGACCTTGCTCAAGAGTTCGGTCAAAAACATGGTGATTCTCTCGCTGGTCCAGAACCACAGTCTGTCTTCCTTTGGCTGTTTGTCCGGATGGTATATTTGAATCGCTTTTCGTAAAACCTGAAAAATTTTCAATTTTTTTTTCAAATTCATTGTTTTCAAAAATGACAACTTCTAGTGCGGCTCTGAGCAGGTTTTTTATTTGAAATCATTATGCACAAAGCATGCTTTAATGATCTTCTATTTTAATGAGAATTGGTATCATTGTTAAAATTCTAAGTAAATAGTTTTTCTCCAAAAAGAACGCTCACAAGACTGTACAGCGCCTTATGAATAATCAGTGTCCCTAAAGATTTAGTTTCAGGTATGAATTAGCACAACCACACAGGGTCCAAAAAAATTGCCAATACTTTGCTAAAATATTGTTCCGACTTTTGAAGAAACTGAGGACAATATACGCTTGTGGTTGTTTTTTTTGGTCAATTCAAACGAAGAAATTTTGGCAGCACGTGGATTGACTGTTCAATCATAAAATGACCAAGCGGTTATGGTTAGACCGTTTCTGTTTAGTCCTGAATACTTATCATACTGAAAACGCGTATCATTATTTATGTGTGGCGAATTGTCCCGCTATACTAATGTTTTCCAATTGAATCAAGGCAAACTAAATTTTCATAATGATTCCATCAACAAAAGAAAACTTAGCCTATAAATTTGACATTTTAGGCTATAAATTTGTCCAAATGTCATAGTTCCTCTTGGGATCAGTTGAGGGCAATTATAAACATTCAACATTCAGAGTTCTGCTCTTGACATACGAATAGTCTTGGCTGTTAATATAGGCTTACTTCAAAGATGTGATAAAATTATTTCCTTCAAGAAACACTCAAAAAACTTCGTAATTGATTACGACCCAAGCAAGGATGATTTCTCAAAAAGTTCAATATAGTTTTCAATAAACTGAGCATGATCCAGTTTTGTAAACAAAAATCTAGAGATCGATTTTTTTTCCAGGTCAAATTACTCGCTGAATCAATTTTTGTTTGTCAAATTTTTCACGCCTTATTTTCAAAAGTTCCATTCAAGGTATCCCCTTAATATTTATTAGGATTACAATTAAATTGTGATTACGCTAATATAGATGAATGACCCTTGATTTTCATGGTTATTGTTCCGACTTTCGTAGCGAAAGTAATGGAATATTTGTGCTCGGGTGGTTTTTTTCAGACAATTTTCGACTTTTTAACAAGCCATTTTTGACGGAATTATTTTACATCATTCAAAAGCTATCGTTGTCCTCAGCTTAAATTTGAAAAGATATTTCACTTGTGATTAATTTTCGTAAAGTTATGGGGGTTTGATGATTGGCATTGGCCATTTTAGCCAATTTGGGACAATTAACGCGCGATATATTTCGCGCTATTAACGCGTGACCGAGATTTAATCCGTCTTAGAAATTGTTCCAAATTGGTTCAAGGAAGCTTATATGCCATTATTGATTTGTTATGATGAGCAAAATCTATCACTTTGTACTTTATATGGCGTGCGATTACAATTAGGATTACAATTAAATTGTGATTACGCTAAGATAGATGAATGACCCTTGATTTTCATGGTTATTGTTCCGACTTTCGTAGCGAAAGTAATGGAATATTTGTGCTCGGGTGGTTTTTTTTCAGACAATTTTCGACTTTTTAACAAGCCATTTTTGACGGAATTATTTTACATCATTCAAAAGCTATCGTTGTCCTCAGCTTAAATTTGAAAAGATATTTCACTTGTGATTATTTTTCGTAAAGTTATGGGGGTTTGATGATTGGCATTGGCCATTTTAGCCAATTTGGGACAATTAACGCGCGATATATTTCGCGCTATTAACGCGTCACCGAGATTTAATCCGTCTTAGAAATTGTTCCAAATTGGTTCAAGGAAGCTTATATGCCATTATTGATTTGTTATGATGAGCAAAATCTATCACTTTGTACTTTATATGGCGTGCGGGGGATGACTTTAACAAAAAATCTCGAACTTTAAATAAAATTTCATTTTGTTTTATTACATTTAATTTTTTTAATGATATTACTGCTTCATAGACTTTAAAAGGCAGTCGGAACATTCAGGGCTCCGCCCTGATACGATCAGTCTTGTGTGTCTTTTTGAACAAAGCTGTTATGGGTTACAAAACTATTCCGTTATTATATCAAAGATAAACTAACATCAATTATTTCTCAGTTCCACTAACTATTCTTGCATGATGGACAAGACAAAAAACAAAGGTAGTAAACATACCTTTGGTTCTTGAAAATCTGAAGTTCAACCTTTGCGAGTGATTAAAAATGGTCTTTAAGCAGCGATTCAAAGTTTTTTTACTTACATTTTTAACTTACTTTTTTAGAGTCTTGCTCATCCGATGCCCCAAAATTCTTTGCGTCAAATCCTTGCACTTTCGGAGGATACTTCTCAATGATTGCTAGAATTTCATTTTTCAGTTGGTAATCAGCAGGTGACCTTCGATCATCGAGGAACTGTGAAACCTCCAATAATTCTTTTGTGTACTTTTGTTTTTCCTCGCTGTCTTTTTCATGCTCGCTTTTCAGGACGTCTTTTTGGAGGTCGCGCAAGTTATCCTCAGCATCTTTGTACCATTTTTCGGTGGTCACGTTTTTGGGATGCAATGATAACGCCAGTTCGATGCACTTTGTGTAGTAATTTTTTGCCTTGTTTCTACTGTTGGGCATTTTGAGTACCTTTAATTGATAAGTCCCCATTATGCTCAAAATTTCTGCCTCCAGTTCAACATCTTTATCACGGACTTGTGACAAAGCATGGTGGTACAAATCATACACGTAGTACACCAATTCAAAATCTAGAGTCTCCTGATTTTTCATGACCTCTTCGTGCTTCTCGTTTGCAGCGGCGAGCGACAAACGTCCAATGACTTGAGTCATCTCAGTGAGAGTCTCGCCTTCTAAGATTCTGACCTCCTCTTTAATTTCATCAAGCTGCTGCCGATCTTTTGATGAAACAGAGGAAATTTTCTGAGCATCATTGAAGACTCTATAAAACTCCTCGACAGGGCGCTGAATCTCCTCAAAATTGTATTTTGCCAGTTTTACCTCGTTACATTCGCCGTAGACAACTCCACTGTTGAAGAAAAATTTTGCTTTCTTGAACAAAATCAGGCCTTTTACAGCAACTGATGAATTGTGGGTGCCTAGAACAAAAATTCATATCTCCATTTTGGTGTAATGTTCGTAAATTTTCACATGAATATAGTTGTCGGAAAAAGTAGTTGGCCGAGTTGTGATGTTATACGGTTTACTATGAATAGAATATGTTTACATCAAAACATGGATTTTTGGCTGTGCTGTCAAACTTTTTATTTTTTTGTTTGTTGTACAAAATTATAGTCTTATAATACCTTTTAGATTATTTACTGTTAATTTAAAGTCTTCAGTCTTTCCAAATAATTGAATTGGGACAAATTTTGCTGTTTCATTTAAATGTTTGGCTTGCGACAAGTTCTGCAGTTGGAGGCCAACGTTATATTTAACATTTATTTCAGATTGGTCGGACCTGTGACATAACGCTGACATTTTTTATTGTATATTTCATGGAAATTAAAACAAAAATGTTTGTATTAATTTAGATTCTATTTTAAAAGTTATCTCAATTTAATTATCAAATGTTTTCTACTTCAAACCTGATCTCTCTGTTAAATTTTAATACGCTTTTCGCCTGAAAAAAAATGGAGACAAATGGAATTTTTTTCGTTTTTTGAAATAGTTTTTGCATCATTTTTCATTTTTATGTTTATATCAAGTTGATTGCTACCATCTGCAATAGTTGCAAATCAAATTTTGCTTTTCTGGAAAATAATTTCAGCTTACCTTCAGCCATAGCAGAAAGGATTGAGTCCCTGCTCAATTCAGGAGCTGCTGCCTCAAAATCGTCCACCAACAAATCAATCTTGTCCGTTAAATGCTCAAAATCCGAAACTCGTTCATCGGAAACCAGTTGGAGATAGCTCATCCAGTAAAACGTTTTCGAGATGTTCCTTAGTTTCACCCCGTTAATGTCGCCACACCTCCTCGGGTTGTCAGCGTAAAAGACCCGTTTTCTTTCTAGTGACCTCTGTATGCTCGCAAGGGCTTTCTCTTTCTGTGTACGGCTCATAGCCGCCAAAGCTGCATTGCAATATGCGTCGTAGCTTTTATCTAACCATTTTTCAACCAGGGCTGGAGATTTGTTCTCGACATCCTTTTGCTCTATACTTTCGCCCTCTTTCATGCATTTATCAAAACTCATTTTTTCACTGAAAAATAAATTTCGAATCTTCATCAAAGTAAACATCAAAAAATAACTAACGCAAAAAAAACTCAATTCGCTGAAACTTATTCAATTGAACTCATCATCCATGAATTATTTTTGGAGCATCGTATGTACTCGACGGATCTTCAATGAAATGATTCGAGCCAGTCACATTTATAACATGTATGGCGAACCGTATTGAAACGTATTTATCAAAACTCATTTTTTCACTGAAAAATAAATGTCGAATCTTCATAAATGTAAAAATCAAAAAATAACAAGGTAAAAAGAAATCAACTCGCTGAAACTCGTTTAGGTGAACCCATCGTTTATGCACTATTTTTGAGAGCATCGTATGTACTCGACAGATCTTCAATGATGTAATTCGAGCCAGTCACATTTATAACATGTATGACCAGCCGTATTGAAACACATTTATCAAAAGTCATTTTTTCACTGAAAAATAAAAGTCGAATCTTCATAAATGTAAAAATCAAAAAATAACAAGGTAAAAAGAAATCAACTCGCTGAAACTCGTTTAGGTGAACCCATCGTTTATGCACTATTTTTGAGAGCATCGTATGTACTCGACAGATCTTCAATGATGTAATTCGAGCCAGTCACATTTATAACATGTATGACCAGCCGTATTGAAACACATTTATCAAAAACCATTTTTTCACTGAAAAATAAAAACCGAATCTTCATAATTGTAAAAATCAAAAAATAACAAGGTAAAAAGAAATCAACTCGCTGAAACTCGTTTAGGTGAACCCATCGTTTATGCACTATTTTTGAGAGCATCGTATGTACTCGACAGATCTTCAATGATGTAATTCGAGCCAGTCACATTTATAACATGTATGACCAGCCGTATTGAAACACATTTATCAAAACTCATTTTTTCACTGAAAAATAAAAGTCGAATCTTCATAAATGTAAAAAAATCAAAAAATAACAAGGTAAAAAGAAGTCAACTCGCTGAAACTCGTTTAGGTGAACCCATCGTTTATGCACTATTTTTGAGAGCATCGTATGTACTCGACAGATCTTCAATGATGTAATTCGAGCCAGTCACATTTATAACATGTATGACCAGCCGTATTGAAACACATTTATCAAAAACCATTTTTTCACTGAAAAATAAAAACCGAATCTTCATAATTGTAAAAATCAAAAAATAACAAGGTAAAAAGAAATCAACTCGCTGAAACTCGTTTAGGTGAACCCATCGTTTATGCACTATTTTTGAGAGCATCGTATGTACTCGACAGATCTTCAATGATGTAATTCGAGCCAGTCACATTTATAACATGTATGACCAGCCGTATTGAAACACATTTATCAAAAGTCATTTTTTCACTGAAAAAAAAAATTCGAATCTTCATAAATGTAAAAATCAAAAAATAACAAGGTAAAAAGAAATCAACTCGCTGAAACTCGTTTAGGTGAACCCATCGTTTATGCACTATTTTTGAGAGCATCGTATGTACTCGACAGATCTTCAATGATGTAATTCGAGCCAGTCACATTTATAACATGTATGACCAGCCGTATTGAAACACATTTATCAAAAGTCATTTTTTCACTGAAAAATAAAAGTCGAATCTTCATAAATGTAAAAATCAAAAAATAACAAGGTAAAAAGAAATCAACTCGCTGAAACTTGTTTAGGTGAACCCATCGTTTATGCACTATTTTTGAGAGCATCGTATGTACTCGACAGATCTTCAATGATGTAATTCGAGCCAGTCACATTTATAACATGTATGACCAGCCGTATTGAAACACATTTATCAAAACTCATTTTTTCACTGAAAAATAAATGTCGAATCTTCATAAATGTAAAAATCAAAAATTAACAAGGTAAAAAGAAATCAACTCGCTGAAACTCGTTTAGGTGAACCCATCGTTTATGCACTATTTTTGAGAGCATCGTATGTACTCGACAGATCTTCAATGATGTAATTCGAGCCAGTCACATTTATAACATGTATGACCAGCCGTATTGAAACACATTTATCAAAAGTCATTTTTTCACTGAAAAATAAAAGTCGAATCTTCATAAATGTAAAAATCAAAAAAGAACAAGGTAAAAAGAAATCAACTCGCTGAAACTCGTTTAGGTGAACCCATCGTTTATGCACTATTTTTGAGAGCATCGTATGTACTCGACAGATCTTCAATGATGTAATTCGAGCCAGTCACATTTATAACATGTATGACCAGCCGTATTGAAACACATTTATCAAAAACCATTTTTTCACTGAAAAATAAAAACCGAATCTTCATAATTGTAAAAATCAAAAAATAACAAGGTAAAAAGAAATCAATTCGCTGAAACTCGTTTAGGTGAACCCATCGTTTATGCACTATTTTTGAGAGCATCGTATGTACTCGACAGATCTTCAATGATGTAATTCGAGCCAGTCACATTTATAACATGTATGACCAGCCGTATTGAAACACATTTATCAAAACTCATTTTTTCACTGAAAAATAAAAGTCGAATCTTCATAAATGTAAAAATCAAAAAATAACAAGGTAAAAAGAAATCAACTCGCTGAAACTCGTTTAGGTGAACCCATCGTTTATGCACTATTTTTGAGAGCATCGTATGTACTCGACAGATCTTCAATGATGTAATTCGAGCCAGTCACATTTATAACATGTATGACCAGCCGTATTGAAACACATTTATCAAAAACCATTTTTTCACTGAAAAATAAAAACCGAATCTTCATAATTGTAAAAATCAAAAAATAACAAGGTAAAAAGAAATCAACTCGCTGAAACTCGTTTAGGTGAACCCATCGTTTATGCACTATTTTTGAGAGCATCGTATGTACTCGACAGATCTTCAATGATGTAATTCGAGCCAGTCACATTTATAACATGTATGACCAGCCGTATTGAAACACATTTATCAAAAGTCATTTTTTCACTGAAAAAAAAAAGTCGAATCTTCATAAATGTAAAAATCAAAAAATAACAAGGTAAAAAGAAATCAACTCGCTGAAACTCGTTTAGGTGAACCCATCGTTTATGCACTATTTTTGAGAACATCGTATGTACTGGACAGATCTTCAATGATGTAATTCGAGCCAGTCACATTTATAACATGTATGACCAGCCGTATTGAAACACATTTATCAAAAGTCATTTTTTCACTGAAAAATAAAAGTCGAATCTTCATAAATGTAAAAATCAAAAAATAACAAGGTAAAACGAAATCAACTCGCTGAAACTTGTTTAGGTGAACCCATCGTTTATGCACTATTTTTGAGAGCATCGTATGTACTCGACAGATCTTCAATGATGTAATTCGAGCCAGTCACATTTATAACATGTATGACCAGCCGTATTGAAACACATTTATCAAAACTCATTTTTTCACTGAAAAATAAATGTCGAATCTTCATAAATGTAAAAATCAAAAATTAACAAGGTAAAAAGAAATCAACTCGCTGAAACTCGTTTAGGTGAACCCATCGTTTATGCACTATTTTTGAGAGCATCGTATGTACTCGACAGATCTTCAATGATGTAATTCGAGCCAGTCACATTTATAACATGTATGACCAGCCGTATTGAAACACATTTATCAAAAGTCATTTTTTCACTGAAAAAAAAAGTCGAATCTTCATAAATGTAAAAATCAAAAAATACCAAGGTAAAAAGAAATCAACTCGCTGAAACTCGTTTAGGTGAACCCATCGTTTATGCACTATTTTTGAGAGCATCGTATGTACTCGACAGATCTTCAATGATGTAATTCGAGCCAGTCACATTTATAACATGTATGACCAGCCGTATTGAAACACATTTATCAAAAGTCATTTTTTCACTGAAAAATAAAAGTCGAATCTTCATAAATGTAAAAATCAAAAAATAACAAGGTAAAACGAAATCAACTCGCTGAAACTTGTTTAGGTGAACCCATCGTTTATGCACTATTTTTGAGAGCATCGTATGTACTCGACAGATCTTCAATGATGTAATTCGAGCCAGTCACATTTATAACATGTATGACCAGCCGTATTGAAACACATTTATCAAAACTCATTTTTTCACTGAAAAATAAATGTCGAATCTTCATAAATGTAAAAATCAAAAATTAACAAGGTAAAAAGAAATCAACTCGCTGAAACTCGTTTAGGTGAACCCATCGTTTATGCACTATTTTTGAGAGCATCGTATGTACTCGACAGATCTTCAATGATGTAATTCGAGCCAGTCACATTTATAACATGTATGACCAGCCGTATTGAAACACATTTATCAAAAGTCATTTTTTCACTGAAAAATAAAAGTCGAATCTTCATAAATGTAAAAATCAAAAAATAACAAGGTAAAAAGAAATCAACTCGCTGAAACTCGTTTAGGTGAACCCATCGTTTATGCACTATTTTTGAGAGCATCGTATGTACTCGACAGATCTTCAAGGATGTAATTCGAGCCAGTCACATTTATAACATGTATGACCAGCCGTATTGAAACACATTTATTAAAAGTCATTTTTTCACTGAAAAATAAAAGTCGAATCTTCATAAATGTAAAAATCAAAAAATAACAAGGTAAAAAGAAATCAACTCGCTGAAACTCGTTTAGGTGAACCCATCGTTTATGCACTATTTTTGAGAGCAACGTATGTACTCGACAGATCTTCAATGATGTAATTCGAGCCAGTCACATTTATAACATGTATGACCAGCCGTATTGAAACACATTTATCAAAAACCATTTTTTCACTGAAAAATAAAAGCCGAATCTTCATAATTGTAAAAATCAAAAAAATAACTAACGCAAAGAGAAATTGAACTTGCTGAACCTCTTTCAGGTGAACCCATCGTTTATGCACTGTTTTTGAGAGCATCGTATGCACTCGACGGATCTTCAAAGAAATGATTCGAGTCAGTCAAAGTTGTAACATGTATGACGAGCCGCACTGAAAAAAGTGGTCAGAACCAATTTGTTGAAAATAAGTTATTTTTTGTAGAATAT